ATACATAATATCATCTCTTATTTCATTCATTTTATTGCAAAATACATTCATACAATCCTCACCTCTGTATAAATAAGGCTTAACTTCATCTGTAATAGAATTAACAACATTTATCATAAATCCTGATGGTTTATGATTTTGATACGTTCCCTTCAATCCTTCATTTGATAAGGTTGTTAAACATTCAAAATCACCATAAATAACATATGGACATCTCAATTTTTTATAGTGGTTTTTAAAGAACATTTTTTCTTCATTTTCGGGCATCTGTGTTCTTTGAACCTCGTTAGCCATACAACCTTTAGTAAGATGATTATGTAATAAGTTCTCCTTTTGAAATCCTTTTTGACAATATTTACAAGTGAATAGTTTAGCTTTATGTTTATTCATTTGGGAACCTATTAATTTAGAATAATCTTTAATAAAAACATAATGGCTTCCCTCATCATCATCAAGACGAAGAAGGTTAACATGACATATAGGTTCGGTTATTTTTGTAACTCTATCTACTCGTATTTTTTGATTATCTACTATATAAACATTTATTGAAATTTTCTGTTTATTTATTTGTTCAAAATAATCAATATCTTCATTTGAAGCTGGAAAATTAACACCTTCCCATTTAATTATACTATCATTTTCAAAGGGCTTGTATTTACATATTCTACAAGGATGGTCTTTTTTATATACTTCAAAGAATTTACATAAAACACAGTATTTGAAACAAAATTCATCATTGTTTTGAATGTTAATACAAGCCTTCTTTAAAGCAATCCATCTAGGTAATTCAATAAATTTACCCGCTCTTGTCGGGTCATATTTATCATAATGAAATGCTATTTTGTTTATTTTATGAAGCTTTAAATCAGACCTATAAAAATTTTTATTTTCTACGCTTATTTCTATATCAGATGCCACATTATTTATTGCATTGTTTAAGTCTTCTTCGTTTAATATATTATATCGTCGTGAACGAATACTAGCAACAAAATCCTTATCTTCATCGTCTAAATGCTTAAACTGAACGGATACATCAACTAATAGTTTCATACTTTTGTTTTTATTTAAATAATCTCTTAATCTAGGTTTTTGATAATATATGTGAGATAATCCTGCATATCCTAATTTTTGAATGTTTGTTATGGCATATGTGTTAGCATAAGCTTTTGAAGCTGTAAATACGTTAGTTCTTGTGCCGAATGTTGATATAGAATATCGTTTTAACGCTTTTCTTACTGCTATCCCCTTAGATGCTTTATCCAGTATGTTAAAACGTTTGTAACCTGGTGTTTTTTCTACTTGTTCTAGTTTATTTATAAGTGTTCCTGAAAAAGGTTTTGATGGATTATATGGGTATTCTTTATCATCTATAATAACTTTTTTTAATTGTTTACCGTCTTTATTTGTTTTAATTTTACCTACATCACTATTTAAAACATATTTCATTACAGATTTTTGTCTATTAATATCCATATTATTATAATGTAGATTTTCTTTTAAGTAGTTTTTTATACCCGTGGTGGGGCTGGGGCTCTCCATACCCTTTAAGGTGGCTTCCCTTTAAGTATGGGGCGGGCGCGCGGGCGTGGGCTGGCGGTTAACATTCATATTATAATATAATATGATAGTTAAAGTTTTTATGTTAAAAAGTCATCTGTTCTATTGATATAATCGTTGTCCTGTATTATTGATTTTTGTTTCTTGATTTTTTTAATGTATTCTTCTTTAGGTATATAAGGATATTTAGCATCTATAAAACGTTCAAATGTATAATCATCTTTAAAATGTTTTTCACCTATTCGTATATTAATAAATTTCAAAGCTTCATTTGAATACAATTTAAATTTTAGTTTGCTAAATTTTTCATTATTGTCTATGTATGATAAAATCGCATGAATTGCACTTTCAACTTTATTTATTTGACTTTTTACATGATTAACAAATTTTCTCCTGGTATCATTCTTTTCGTCTATATTGTTATAAAAATCATTTATAATTTTATTTCGTTGTTTGGTGTAAAAGTCTTTTACTTTATCATTAATTGTAAATGAGTTATCATATAGTAATTTAATCTCATTGTATAATTCATTATTGTACAATTTGAATTCTGGTAATACACCTTTGGACGATTGTAATGTCTCCTCAAATGTAGGAAATGGATTTAATTTAATATAATAATATATTTGTAAATCTAGATTCTTATCTGTGTAATCTGTTATATTGTATTTATGTTTAGCTTCAACTGCTTTAACCACATCTTCAAAATCTTCCATACTACAATGATAAACGTTTTCTTTAAATTCTTTTAAAGTTTTACATACTTCACATTCCTTATAAGTATATTTACAAATATCTTTAACAATATTACTAGGTATATTCAATTTATATAAGCTCAAATTCTGTTGATTAAACTTACAGTTTTTACATATACTAACTTTATGATTAATAATTGTTTTCATTTCAATAACATTTAAGAATTTATTAATAATTTCTTCTTGTTCTAATGTTGATAAAAACATTATATTATTATAATGATAAAATGTCTTTAAGTATATTTTCTGTTCTGGGCTGGGGCTCTCCATACCCTTTAAGGTGGCTTCTCTTTAAGCCTAGGGGCGCGGGGCTGTTGGTTGTCAGTTGTTGTTGGTTGTGACTACTGGCTGTTGGGAGTTGTTGGGGTCGTCTACTGGCAGTTGTCAGTTGTGGCTACTGGTTGTTGTCAGTTGTTGGTTGTGACTACTGGCAGTTGTCAGTTGTGGCTACTGGCAGTTGTCAGTTGTGGCTACTGGCTGTTGGCAGTTGTTGGGGTCGTCTACTGGCAGTTGTTGAGGTCGTCTACTGGCAGTTGTTGGGGTCGTCTACTGGCAGTTGTTGGGGTCGTCTACTGGCAGTTTTTGGAGCTGTCTACGGTAGTTTTTTTCAGTTTTTGGGTTCATACTCTGAGTTTTTCGGGTTCATCTACTGTGAGTCTTATTAATAATGTTTCTTTAAAAAAGACATTTAAAGAAATAGCCCCATAATATTATATGGATAATTCTGACATTAAACCATCTAATCAAATTTGTTCTAAATGCAAAAAGGAAAAAGGAGAAGAACATTTTAAACCAGAGCGAAAGTTATGTAATGAATGCTTAGAAGAGAAAGCCATATATAGAGAGAAGAACAGGGAACAATTGAGACAGAAAGCAAAAGAATATTACCATAATAACCGTGATAAAGAAATAGCAAGGACAATAAAATATAAACAAGAGAATCGTGAACAAATTGTTCTTCAGAGTAAACAATACAGAGAATGCAACAAGGAAGCAATCAATGAAAGGAACAAAAAATACTATCAAAATAATAAAGACGATATTTTGAGCAAGCAGAAGGAAAAGGTTTATTGTTCTCATTGTAACTGTCAAGTTACTCAATATTTGTCAAGACATATACAAACTAAAAAACATCAAAAATATCTTAAAGAAACAGAACCTAAGGGTCTAGCAAACTTATATACAATTATGCATTCATAATAATATTGATATAAAATATTATTATAAATGTAGACAACAGCCAGCACAGAAACCTAGAGTTCAAGAACATTTAAATGAAATATTTGATAAAGAAGAAGACGAAAATTATTACAGACCCTAGGCAGGATGGTAGCGGGGCGGTGGACACTTAAAGAAATGGAGCCTTAGTATATTAGAAACGGATGAACTGGAAACTGGAAGGGGTTACGACACAGCAAGAAATACAGAAGTTTATAAAAGAAAACCCGCTACCACGAAGGGGAAATAAATTTTGGATGAAAGTTTCAGATAAATTTTTGGAAAAAGAAAAACCCATTGATGAAAATGATAAGAAAACAAAAGAAGATAGAATTGAAATGCTTTTCGCTGTTATGGTATTGAAAGATGAAGACGGAATTATTGACATATATGAAAAGATTAACGATGTAGAAACCATTAACAGAGTTGGAAAGGAGTTTAATGAAAGAAACGGTATGAATTCATTGTATATTAAAATTTGTATTTTACGTGAAGCACTTAGAACAATGACTGACAACGATGATTTAAGAATATCAATAATAAAAACGATAGTTAAGGTATGGAAGGAAAACGGAATTTGGAAAGATAATTAGCAAATACATTCATAATAATATTAATATAAAATATTATTATAAATGTAGACAAAAACCACCACAGAAACCTAGACATAATATTATATAGAATATTATACATAATACCCCGACATAAACCGACTAAGGAAGGAAACTTATGCCTAAGCTTATGACATAAAACTAGTATAAAATATCGCGATAGGGTAATAGATACAACTTATACAAAACGTTATGATAATAAACCATCATAAAATATAGATGAGAAGAATAGTTCAAAAGACAACCCCAAAACTACATAAAGATTTTAGATAAGTGTCCAACAAAAACGATAACGAATGAGATAGACAACTTTAAAAACAGTATAGGGGCCTATATAGGGGGTAGGGGGGTAACCCTAGAATCCCCCTTTTCATAATTTTTCACCCACCACCCACCACCCACCACCCACGTTACCACCCACCACCCAGCACCCACCACCCAGCACCCACCACCCAGCACCCACCACCCCCCACCACACCAGCATCATCCACCATCCACCAACTGAGCATCATGCACACAAATCATTCACCCACTCCATCCACCCACCACCCACCACCCATCCCCCAACAACACCCAGCAGCCCACCACCATCGCCAGCTTCACCACCACCACCACCATCATCACCACCATCACTACATCATCACCATGCACTACCATTACCACCACCACCACCACCATCACCACCAACACCACCAACACCCACACCCTAAAACCCCAAAGCCCCAAAACTAACACCTGAACCCTATAATCTCTAAGAGCAAACCCCCTGAACCCTGATCGCTATGTTAAAACCTTGAAACCCTAGGCCAAAACCCTAATTCCATTTAAAACCACAAATCCTAAACAATCTAAAAAAATCCCCTTTTCGCCTGCAGATGCGAAGTCTCCCGGGCGCGAAGCATTTTGCTTCGAGGTGAACCTGCAGGGCCGAAAGCAGCCTACCGGGACAAGGACCTAAACTAAAACCCCAAGAGGCCCGAGGACTAAACCGAAGGGGCTTAAAGGGGAAAGGAGGCCTCCGTCCGAAGGCTCGCTGAGGCACTGCAAAGCCCAAGCAGATTCCTGGGCTAGGGTGGGCGGGCGAGAAAGAAGCTGCTGAGGAGTCGCATTCAAACGGCTGGCATGGGATATTTGGCATCCCCTTTTCGCCTGCAGATGCGAAGTCTCCCGGGCGCGAAGCATTTTGCTTCGAGGTGAACCTGCAGGGCCGAAAGCAGCCTACCGGGACAAGGACCTAAACTAAAACCCCAAGAGGCCCGAGGACTAAACCGAAGGGGCTTAAAGGGGAAAGGAGGCCTCCGTCCGAAGGCTCGCTGAGGCACTGCAAAGCCCAAGCAGATTCCATCTCTAACTTCCTTGGCGTAAGCCACAAGACGCGATGACTTGTTGAATCAAGCAGCGCGAAAAGGAAGAGAGCGTACGTATGCGCTCTCGAGACCAAGGCGCGAGCCTGTGCAACAGAAGCTGCGCCGCCACCTCTTGCAAGTAGAACTCTACTGTTTTAGTTTTGCTCCACCGCCCTCTCCAGGCCACTAAAGGCAAGTCCTCCGTCTCAAGGTAAAGGAAAGTGGCCCCTGAACCTCTCAAGACACCAGGTGTAGCGCCGCGCTGCGCCAGCTGGTGCGGGACGCCGAGGCGCGACATTACAGCGTTCCACTGACGACGGTAAACATGCATTGAACCTCGAAAGAGGCGAGCATGAAGAGGGAGGTCGAAGTACATGGCATGGAGCCATTCAAGAACCAAAGGATCTTCCAGCCGAGAGTGCTGGCGCCGCGCAAACCGCTGCGTTTTGGGGTTGCGAATGTGCACATAAGCAACCGGGTCGCGTGTAAGTGCGTCGGCAGGGAAGACAAGGTCTTGACGGACCAGTGGGATCATCTCAGCAGGATGGAGCATGCAAAGGAACCCGACGGCAGTGACGGCGGCCCAATCATACCAGCCCCAACAAATCGCAAGGCCGATGGCAGCTTGAAGGATAGGTTGAGAGATGACGGGGCGGCATTCGCCCGGTTCGGCAAGCTGCCACTTTCGATCCACCTGCCAGGCTGGAGACAAGTGCGAACGAAACTCTGGGAAACGATCCTGGATTGAAGTGATTGCATACACTAGCAAGTAGCGCGGGTGCCCGCCTGCGTAAAGGTGGAGACCAAAAGCGCGCAAGGCAAGGGCGACAGTTGAAGCGGAAGAAGTAACCGCAACAAGTGGCAAACCAAACTCAGCCAGGAGCCAAGCGGTGAAAGCGCTCAAAGCCTTAGCCATCTTATGGCGGGTCGAAGCAGCGAAGCCTGCTTCAAGGTCAAGGCTGCCTCTGGGCGCGCCCGAGTGCCTGGGGCCGGGATTGCGCTCAACGTCGCCAGCAAGCAGAAGGAACAACCGCACCCAACGACCCAGGCGACGCGGGACGGCAGCAGCAGCGCAAACCAAGTCAAAGGGGCGCGTGTCACCCGAAACCAGAGAAGTGAGCCAGGAAGGCCAAGCTTTAGAAGGAGCCAAGGGGCGGCTGCCTCTTGAGGGGCCGTCGGCACGATTCTTAGCGGAGTAAACGTGGAGCCCGCCAGGGTACAACGAAGAACCGAGGACGTAAGGCAAGGTGGAACGCAGGACACGACAGACAGCCGCACTGGCAGAGCGGCCTTTGGCGGCAGCCCCCAAGAGAACACGGCTGTCGATGAGACCGAGCAGACGACAGCCGCGGTGCCGCTTTGCACACCACTTGATCCACGTTTTGTAAGCGCGGCACTCAAGAATGTTGATGTGCCCCGGTGCAGCGAACTTGTACCTCAGCAACTCAACGAACTCCAAGCAGTCTGCCAGCTCGCCGATCCATTCCGGGTCGTCGTGGAAGGGGCGCGGTTCGAAGCCTGTGCAGTCAGAGGGCAAGAAATCGGGGCCTAAACCGGAAAAACCCAAATCCCTAAGGGTGTCGAGGGAAAGAGAAGCCGGCACAGGGGCGACGTAACCTTGAGTAGCTAAGGCGGAACCTGAAGCTGCACGGAAGTGCAGCGCACAAGGCAACCGAGAGCAGAAGAGCTCAACCGAATCGCCCACGGCAGGCGACTCACCAAAGACGGCGAGAGCTGACGGAGTGCACCGAGCCTCAAACTCTTGCAAGCTGGCCGAAGAAAAGACGCCAAAAGCAGGAAAGTGAAGCGAAGACGCCGGGCAGTGGCAGACACCGGGAGACCGACCTAAACCCACAAGCCAAGGCTTGTTGTGCAACAGCGCGACGGATCGCTTGAACGGTGCGCCGAAATCACAGGTGCAGACGTAGGAAAGGACAGCGCCCAAGCCGACGAGGTTCCGAAAACAGTGAAAGCGGAACAAGCGGCTTTCAAGGGGCTGCTCAACACTGAAGTAGACACCGGAAGAGACAGCGAGGCACAGCAGAAAGCAAAGCCGTCGAGCCAAGCGTGCAGCCGAGGAAGCAACCTCGAGACCGGCGGCTCCAGGCATATAGGTATGCGCCGGGGCCGTCACGTGAAGGTCAAAAAAGACGCCCTCAGTGAGGAGAGCGCGCAAGTTGTGAAAGACCGCGTCAGAGGCAAGATCAGCAAAACAGAGCTGTTCCGAAAGGCCGAAGTCGAGAAGCGGAACATCCTGAAGGCCAGCAGCAAGATGAGCATCACGCCAACCAGGGTCGGTGCCGAACAGGTGCAAGCAACCAGCAGTCTTAAGCACAGCAGGGCGGAGCGGCAAGGGCTCGGAACCAAAGGCGAAACCGGAGGCCGTAGCAGGGCCCAAGGCAGAAGCAAAGCTGACGCCGGGATCATCGTCAAGACCAGAGCTGGCAAGGATAGCCCCAGCAGGCTCAAGCAACTTGGTGTAAAAACCCTTCTGCTCCGAAAAACGCCAAAGTTCTTTCACGGTCGCGCTGGGCAGCACAGCAGAGCACAGGCCAGCACCCGTAGGCGAAGCATCCATGCAGAACAAGAGGCCGGGGTAATCGACCCGCAAGTCGGCTTGCAGTAAGGGCGCCAGGGCGCACAGAGCAAAGAGCTCGTTGATGGACTCCCGCTGCAGCTGAAACACAGAGGTCCGAGGCTCCCGGCGAGCATCGGAAAATACGGCTTGCAAGATTGCCAAAGCGGGGCGACGGAAAAGTAGAACATGGATCCAAAGCCCCAAAAGCGAAGACAACAAGTCAGCCGAACAGCAGCCCTTCCTAGCCACAGTGCAGGTGATCCTCATAAGCACTCCAATGCGGTGCCGAGGGGCAGATACAAGGCCCGCCAAGCCATCAATGTCAGCGCCGAGAAAAGTCCCAGCCACTACATTCCTTTGCCTTTTGCGCGGATGTTGCACAAGCCCAACGGAAGGATAAGCACGTTCGGCACCATTGAAGATAGCAGTGTCTCGGAGAGCGCGACCAAGCCGGTGCTCCTCACGGGTGCAGAGCTGAGCTGTAAGATGATCGTCTATGGCAAGGAGTTCGGTGCAAGCGCTGCGGGGATACGGACGCCTGTATGCGGCGTACTCATAAGGCCTCATGCTGCAAGCGAGCGTGGATAACACATTGAAGTGGCTTTGCTGCGCGAATTCGACAGCATGACAGTCACCCATAGCCAAAGCCCCAAGGGCGACATAGCAAGGTTTATTGTGAAGTTTTGAATCGAAAACGCTGAAATGCTGAAGTTCCCAAGGGGAGAAAGGGATCCCAAGGCTGTTACGTTCAGCCCTTTTCGAAGAAACTAGGAACGTGTAATACATTTCCGAAAGGTCGTCACAATTGAACCGAAGCATGTGCCTATCAGATGGCAAGTGAGCCAAGGCTAGCAAAGCACCAGGCGCAAGAAGCTTTGTGAAATGACTAAGGCCGTGGGTGCGGGAGTTAGCCACAACAGGGTTAAGGATGAACCTATCACATGCACTGTCCTTGCTCACACTAAAGCAACCCACAGTCTCATGAAAGGGAACTTGATCACACGGAACGAGTCGAAGTGCCTGGTGCTCGTCCCACTTGGCAGCAAGCTTGAGCAATTCGTTCCTGGAGCAATGAACCTGTGCACGAGGCAGGCGTGGCCAAGCAGAAGCAGGCAGCCTAAAAGCATTAGGATCGTCATAGAGCATCCTAGCAGCCGGATCCGACAAGAAGGGGCGAGGATCGAAGCTAGGCGGCAGGGTCCACTTAATCCGGTCAGCAATCACTTTCTTGCTCGACAGCCCGGGCCCAAGAGCGCACGACCCAAGAGCACCCGACTCAGGAGCACCACCCCCGGCCTCTTCCGAAGCCGCAGCCTGAGATGATGCAGAAGTTTGAGGGGCGTTGGGGGCACGAGGCCGGGAGTACGAGTCCCAATCAGCATGCAATGCAGAAACAAATTGGGTGAGCATGCGGTCCACATCCACAGGGCAACGGGTGTCACACTGAGGCAGTTCCAAGACCATGCGCAACAAAAGGTCAAATTTTTCGGCACTGCGTCCCAAAGAAGATGCACTGAAGCGCCCGGCCCGCAAGAAATGCAGGGAGTGCCGCTCCAACGTGTCAACCACAGAGTGCTGGCTCTCAGTCACGGGGGCGCCGCGTGCGCAAGCAGAGCTAGGAGGAACATTAGGGCAGCCAAGGGCGAGCCAATTTAAGCACCCAACCTGAAGCCTAACTAAGTCCCAAGCTAGCTGGTGAACCCGAGCGCGGCGGCGCCGGTGTGGCCCAAGGGAGCAGAAGGATTGAGCCGTCCATCGAGCCCGTGCGGGCATCGGGACCGGCCACAAATCGCCTGAGCGTTGCTCAGACACAACTGTGCAGGCAGGAGCGCACAAGGAAAGCCTAAGGAAAGACCCCAAGCTAGACCTAGCACCCCAAATCGAACCTAAAAAACTGCGGACCCAACTGATAAAGCACGTCTCGCCTTGAGGCAGCTTAGGGGGCTCGGGAGAGGCAGGAAGAGGAAACTTACATGAAGAAGAACGTCCCTTCGGCCCTGCCCGCGCCGCTGAGGGCTTCGCCCCAGCCGGGTCAAAAGAAAATGCCGTCGAATTATCATCAGGCTGCAAGAGCTCCACTCCAGCAGCCGGGCATGCACTTCCATCTCGTGGCATCACGCTGTGGAGTCCTGACCGCCGCCCTTCGGCCGACGTGGCCTTCTCGGTGGGCGGCCGGGAACTGCATCGTCCTCGGCGAGCTCGCCGTCCTTCCCCTGATCCTTCGTGTTCCCCGGGCCCGCGTTCATTCGAGTCGCAAGCCAGTCCATCTCCCGAAGGTAAGCTAAGTTGGCCGAAGCCCACAGGGAAGGGCAGCTTTTCGCGCATCATGGTGCTCCACGACGGTTCCGGGAGCCCGGTGAGCAGCCAGGCTAGCTGCGTTTTGCCACTCTCGGTCCCGGCCTGGTCGACGAAGAGGATCAATCGAGCCATCCATGCCTCGAGCTCCAGATTCCCGGACTCTCTCGAAGCCTGCCATGCCTGAGCTGCAAAGGTCCCGATGAGACCGAGCGTTCGATGGTCCCCCAGGGGACACCTCCTTTCGATGTAACGCCGCATAAGGCTGTGGGGCGGATCCTCGACCGACTCGCCCACATCTTCGGCCACCAGCCGGCGGATCTGTGAAGCCACCTGAGAGTGGTCCTTGAGGATCTTGACGAAAGCGTCCCTGGCCGCGCTGCCGCGCGCATTCAAGTTGCCTGCTTCTTTGCCCCCGGCGGAAGCCAATGCACTCTCGAGCGGCCCCTGCGGTTTCGAGGCAGCCAATTGTCCCAGCATCCGGGTCTGAATGATCAAGAGACGCTGCAGCAAAGGATCCGCCCCCGTCACCGCCAGTTCGTCCTGAGCAGCCTCTGCGTCGAGCTCGGCAAGCAATCCATCCGCCTGGGCCGCGCCGGCTTCTCGGGGCGCACGCTCGTGCTGAGCAATCCTGGGCGGGGCCGCCCCAGCCGCAGCTCGAAGCTGATCTAGGTCCGCATTGCTCAAGCCTATACCACCAGCTTCCGGAAAAAGGTCGCGAGCACCACGCCGCCCAGCGCCGACCGAACCTCGAGCTTGGCCACCCAGGGGCAAAGGGTTGCTCTGAGCAGCTCTTTCCAAAGCGGCGACCTGAGCCCTGAGTTTGGCCAGCTCGGCAACGTGACCGCCTTCGTCCTCCTCGTCGGCCTCGGGTTCCTCGGGCTCTTCGGCTCCCTCGGCGGCTGTAGCGTACTCGGCCATAGACTCCTGAAGATCCGGCTCTGCAGCTGCAGCGGTGATCCAAGCGTCGGCCGCGGTAAGGGCAGCAGAGGCCACGGGGCGTACGACGGCGCCGCCAGATTGTATGGAAACCAAAGCCAAAGTACTGGACCTCAAAGTAGACCCCTTCCTGAAGTAGCCTAGCCAGTCCCACGGCACGTCCACAAAAATCAAGCTCACCTGCCCGACAGGCCTGCGACGCGGGGTCTCGCACTCGATGTCGACCTCGGTGAAGCCCAGTGGGTTGTCCCCAGCCTCTGTTGAAAAACCGCTGATCAGATCGTGAACCTGAGTCGTGTGGGGCAGCGCGATCATGAAACCTCCAGCTCGGTGTTTCAGCAAGAAGGCTGTGATCCGGGTCCGGGGAGAGCTGTCGTCGTCGACTAAGTACACCAAAGGAAGCGGCCTCCCAGCAGGGGCATCCGTCAGCAGACGAACGACCTCGGCACGGCTCAAAGTTCCCGCGGCCATCCCGACTCCGCTCCGCCCAAGTAGGCCTCAGCTTCCGAGCGAGAGGCAAAGCCGTGGCAAATGCACCACGGCTCCAAGCGACCTTGCCGATCGCGCCGCACGTAGAGCTCAAAAGTGCTGAAGCGCTCTGTCACAAAGCCCTCGGGCTGAGAATCGCAGCGGAGAACGATGTAGATCCGATTCCGCAGCGACAAGGCCGGACTTGAAACGATCCAGTCCCGTTCACCGCGCAGCCTGGCGCCAGCAGAAAGGCCAGCGCGATAAGCGCGGGCTATCCTTGCCCGCTGTGTCCAAGATCCCACAACACCAAGCCCACGGCCCAGCCGGCAGAAAGGGCCCAGACGCAATCCCTCCAGCTCCGCTGGAGAAGTCGCCTCTAGCAAGTCCTCAGCAGCCGAAGGCGCGCTGAGCTCCTCGGGAAGCGGTGGCGCTTCCCTAGCAAGGGGTCCAGAAACAGCCTGGGAGCTTGAAGTCGGGGCCTCCACCAAGGTAAAGGAACCAGTCGGCGAGGGATCGGGCGAATCCGGGCCCGAAGCAGCAGCAGACTCAGAAACTGAAATGCGCAAGCCGCGGAAGTGAACCACAAGTTCGTCCACAGAAGGGCGGCTGCTCATTCACGGTATTCCTGCAATCTCCTAGCCAGCTGGACCCGAAAACTGGGAGCGGGGCCTGAGGCGAGCTCAAGCCAAGCAGCCAGGAGTCGTAAGCCAGCCGAACAGACCCGCCGAGCCCAAGTAGAAAGCACCAGCGTAGCAGCCAGAATCCCACAGAAGCAGCCCAAGCAGCAAAATCCAAGGCTCAGTACGATAGCGAGCCAAACCGGGATGCCGCTCGAACTATGGCTCGGGCCCCAAAGCCTAAACTCACGAGCGAGCTCGGGCAGGGCAGCCCACATTCGAGAAAGAAGCTGCTGAGGAGTCGCATTCAAACGGCTGGCATGGGATATTTGGCATAGGCTAAAACTCTTTAGAGTTGTTCAAACACTAAATCTGTGCATGTGTGTGCATGATGTACCAGGCTCGAGAAGCCCAGAAAAAAATACATGCACAGCTTGAGTTAAAGCGCTTTGGTCCGGTAGGCTGAACATGCACAGCTTGAGTTAAAGCACTTTGGTCCGGTAGGCTGAACAAGCCAAGTTTAAACTAGCTAACAACCTTAGGATGCCGAGGAGCTCCGTTTTGATATATAAGGTAGCGACAGCATCATCATGCACAGCTAGCAAATAGCTTAAGCTTTAGGATCTAGGGCAATGGCCCCCAAGAAAAGGCCCGCTTCGGTGAAGAAGGAGCCCGAGACACCGCCGAAGAAGCCGAAGCCTGCAAAGGCAAACTCTCCGGCCAAGGCCTCGCCGGGAGAGCCAAGCTCTCCCGGCCCGAAGCTGGGAAGTCCCCAGCCACCGCCTCCACAGCCTGCAAAGGCAACACCTACACCACCGCCTGCCAAGGCAGGGCAGCCTGCAAAGGCAAAGGCCAAGGCCCACCCGGCTCCTTCCAGGGATGCTTGGAAGGACCTTCGCTACCAGCTGGGCAGCCTGAAGAAGGCAGGAAAGGGAGCGAACCTTCGCGCCCAGTGGGAGAACTGCAAGATCCAGTCCGAAAAAAGGACTTTCTACTACGAAGTGTTCCTTCTGGACCCAGAGGTAAGCCAGAAGGAAGTGCACAAGGAGAGCTTGCAAAAGCAGAGCAGCCTGCAGAAGGCGGTCACTGGGTGGATGACCATGTGGGAAATCGGCAAGCTTGAAGGAGCAGACCCCTCGGTTCCTTCCTTCGAAAGCCTGTGCAAGGCAGCGGTTGAAGGGCTTCCGAGTCGGAAGCATGAAGTGGAAGCTTGGGCAAAGCAAGGTGTGCTACAGTACTGGCACAGCAAGGAATTGCACAAAGAGACGACGACGAAGCACTCGTCGACCACGAAGACCTCGGAGAAGGTCGGGGAGCTCGAAGATGAGCCTTTCCGGAAGGTCGAAGAGGCCCTGAAAATCGAGAACTCTGTCCGGCCGTTGATGCTGGGAAACAGCAAGGCCGGAAAGGCCGGAAGCTCTGGTGACGGGCCGCCGCAGCTCGAGGAGGAGAAGCCGGAGGAGGAGCAGCCTGAGGAAGGCGATCTCTACAAGAAGGCCGTGCAAGGCTTGAGAAAGGCAGTGAATGCTTACAGCTCCGCCGCCAGCAAAGTCACGACGATGCTGGCAAGCCTGGAGAAGGCAAACCCCGAGGTTCAGGCAGACCCGCAGCATGCGGTGTCGAAGATCGCACTGGGGGATCTGGAAACTTCAAGCTCGAAAGAGCGAAACCACTGGAACACCGTTTTGGCCAGGTGGCCGGCGACGTGGGACAGGGCGGCTGGGTTTTTCAACGAGACCGAAAAGGTCGAGGAGGTGCAGCTCGAAAAGAGCAAGTGCGAGAAGGCTCTCAAGGAGCTGAACAAAGTGCTTGCCCCTACGAAGGTTTGGGCGAAAGGCAAGCTGGACTTCTAGCTTGAAAAGCACTGCAGCTGTGAGCCGAGCTCGAAGAGAGCTAGCAAACAAGCAACACTTCTAGCTCGAAAAGAGCTGCAGCTGTGAACCGAGCTCGAAGAGAGCTAGCAAAGAAGCACTGCAGGCGGCGCCGCCGGCTCGAAAAGCCTGTCCATTTGCAGGGGTTCGTGAGTGCATGTCGCTTTGTGCAGGGCTTGCCTTTCACCTTTGATGCTCCTGCATGCATGCCGCAGCTAGCTTTGTATAGCTAGCTCTTAATGCAGATCGTAGCATTTGGCAGGACGTCCCTTTAAAGCTCCAGCAGTTTAAGCGCCGAAACTTGCTGCCATGTGTAATTTTAAGCTAGGCCGCCCAAACTTGTTTCCCTCACCATGCACCCTAAAGCCATTTTAGAGGCCCTTATAAGGTATAAAACAAACACGACTTTAGCTATAGGCCTCCCCGGGCCATGAGCCATGGGCAAACGAAGCCTGCAAAAGGCATCTCCAGCAAGCGGAAGCAAGAAGCAGAAGCCTGCAAAGGCGGAAAGCAGCAGCTGCAGCGAGGAACAGGGGAAGCCTGAGAAAGGCAAAGAGCTGGAAGCCCTTGGCGACGAGTTGACGGGGCTCCACACGAGCAATGCTGTCACTGCTAGGAAGGCAGCTTCAGTTTTCAAGAAAGCCCATGATGCGGGCTTGCGACTGAATAGCCCTTTTGATAAGGCTTTCAGTCTTAGGAAGGCTGCAGAAGCCAACAACTTGAAGCCTGCAGAAGGCAGCGAGGGCAGCGACCTGAAGCCTGCAGAAGGCAAGACTGCAGCAAGAACATTGCAAAGGTGGATGCGGAAAAATTCCACTTGGCCCGACCTCTATTGGGCGGAAATTCCTTTGAAGTCCGGGGGGACAAAACAAGTCAAGCCTGAAAAAATGCCTTTCCTGCTGCCCCACGAGTGGCTGGCAGATTATTTTTTGCAGCCAGGGGCAGTGGAGGAGGCCCTTCCGGCACCGGGCAGTCCGTTAGGACAGGAACTTAAGCGAATCGAGGCAGCTTGGAGAAAGCGATTTGGGGAGCAGGCAAACCCATGGTCCCTCTGGGGCTCCACGGGGACGGGGTGCCTGTGCAAGGCAGGATGAATCAATCCACCGTCGATTTTATGACCATCAACTTGATGGCATCCAATGTTTTTCAAGCGAAGCGGGTTCCTATCACCTGTGTGGAGAGCCGTTATGTGGCAGGTCGCGAGACCATAGAAGCAGTGCAGCAAGTGATTGCATGGTCCCTGCAGAGCCTGGGTGAAGGCAGATACCCCAGCTCAAGGCACGATGGGGAAAGCCTGGACAAGGCGAGACAAAGCATGGCAGGGCTACCGATGGCAGCCAGAGGTGGCCTGGTGCAGCTTCGAGGCGACTGGGACTGGAACTGCAAATACTTTGGAGCTCCTCAGTGGAATGAGTTGAAAGGAATGTGTTGGCTTTGTAAAGCCAAGCCCGAAAATTGGCGGGGGATGTCTGCAGAGGACCGCCAAAACCAGAGCCTGAGTAAGGCAGAGTTCGAGGAGAGCTTGAGAGATCGCAACAAACACGTGTCGCCTTTGTTTGGGCTGCCGGGAGTAATTGACGATCTGACATGTGTTGTGCGACAACCAATTCCTCGTTCTTGATGAGCTGAAGTGTTCCTTCATGGAGTGAAAAGCATGCCTGTTGCTGTCTGCTTCGGCTCGCAACTGCAAAGTTTCTCTTGCCCTTTCGTGAAGTTCTGCCGATAGGCGTTCGTACTCTTTGGCCATGCTGTACCCCTCACCATGTGCGGTTTCTTCTGCCTTCACGAGGTACTTCACAAGTTCAACTTTTTCGCGATGCAAACAATTGATCATTTCGTCAGCTGTCTGAAGATCATGGCGTAGTTGAGCATTGGCTTCGTCCATCAGCCTTACCATAGAATCTTCGCACTCGGCCTTCATCTCTTGATGTTTGCTGTTCATATGCTGCATTGCGAGATGAGCCGTGTCACGTTGTCGTTCCAATTGCTGAATACGCATCTCTGAACCTTCGTCTTCTTGCTTCATCTCTCGAATCTCCGCCATCAAGTGGTTCACAACCGTCTCGAACTTTTGGATTTCGCTCTGATAGAACATCTGTTGTGCGAATTGTGCAATGTCCATTTGAGCCTCAGACCGTCCTCGTCGTTCTTCTTCGGTGGGAGTAGGAAATCCGATTGTAGAAACGTCCTCAATAGTGGGAGTATGATCCATTGCATTATCCTCGGGACGGGCAGTTGTCCGCAACCTCAGTCGTCCTTCCGTCTCGGAAGGACTGCTCCTTTTTGAGGGTGGAGATTGGGCCTTGTCCATCACCTTGGTCGTGCTCTTGGGACTCCTTGCTGAGGGACTTCTCGATGAACTCGGTTTAGAAATCCGTTCCGGCGTCCTCGAACCTTTGTCCTTTCCTCTGGCTGACAAACGCAGCGCTTGCATAACAGGCATCATTGGTGCCCTTTGATCACGATCAATGTCTTTGATTGCTCTTGATCCTGCTGATGCTGGCCGAGAAGGCGTTGACGCCCTTGACAAATTCTTTGCTTTGGGAGCTGGCTTCGGTGTAGCAGAAGAGGATGCTTTTGCTTTCTCCTCTTCGGTGGAGCTGTCAACGGAATGCACCACCGTGTCGTCAGCAGTGGATTCTCCAGCTGCTGCCGCCGCTGCCGTACCACCGAAGGTCCAGGATGTGTCATTGCTCGATCCAGATGCCATTGAAGTAGCGGTAGAGCAGGAACAACTTTCTCCTTGTAGGCAGAGCCTACGGCTGAGTGTATGTGGTTGCCCACCAAGATAACGATGTGTTCTTTCTGCTCTCCAGAAGTTACCCTTGCAGGCACGCTCAACCCTTCTTTGTCTTCCGACGGCCGAAGGTCGATCGGTCTGTGCGCGGGATAGCTCAGCTACTTCTTGAAAGGATCACCTGCTAGCTTGGCTAGTTAGGTTCTGGAGCCAATGTTGCATTGAACGCGGATGCGTTTACGTTGTGCTCTTCCACCCTTGGTCCGCTAAGCGACCCCAAGGTACACTGCTTGGTCCACTAAGTGAGCCCAAGCTGTGTTGTGGATACTCAACGTCAAAGGCACTTGTCACTTGTCTACATAGCTCATATCGCGATACCTACGATTGGACTAGGCATCGACGTCCGTTCGCAACAAATATTTACTTATATATATATATATATATATAGATACATATGTATATATGTCCTATCATGCTGGAAAATAAAGAACATTTGAATTTTCGCAATCCGTGACTTATCAACATGGAAAATAAAGTGCATTGGGTGCATTGCAACTTTTCATATGTTAGGTTTCTCTATAGGAAACTAAGAAACATTCAGCGACGCTCATTTTCACTAGTTGCCTTTCGGGGAATTATAAGAGTCATTTCGTCCTCTAGGTATGGGACTAGCCAGCACGCCACGGTTGCAGGGCCGCCTGGTCTTACTGGACAAGATGTGGACCGATCCAGTGACCCGGTCAGCGTTCGCGACTTGTTGCGTCAGCGCGTGTGCTCTTCAAACCCATATGCTTGGCACACTGTGTGTACCTCTTGTTTCTGGTACACTGTGTGAACCTCTTTTGCGGGATGCAAAAGTTCTTTTGAGCTTTTATTTTTCATTTGGAATTTGAGTGTTAGTTTTCCGGCAAACTAGGACACTGCACTTTGGAGTGATGGATTTGAGTGTACTTTTTCCGGGAAAATAGAACACCGAACTTTTGTGAAGATTTTGAGTGAATGATGATTGTTGTAGGTCTCTTAAGGCTGCATGCGAACCATGTTCAGTGCACGGCAGCCACAGGGCCAAGTGGTGACATTTCGAAGCTCATGTAAGAGTTTCGGTAGTCGTGGCCTTGGCCACGCTCGCTGCAAAGGAGGGGCGTGCATCGTGGCATGGACGCGGAGATTTCTGCACGCTGCACAAGCAGACTGAAGGCAGTGGGCTTTGGGGATCCAACCTTGCTTCAGTTTCTGTTGATGCCGGGATATTGCAAGACAGCTGGTGGAAGAGCTGGGGCTTTGTGTTTTTCATGAGTTGGTAGACTGGCTGGTGCACTACATACAGGAGGCACATTCGCGTGCCCCTTTGCAAGAGCGTTCCCAAGGGCTTCATGGGCAAGCTGTCCTGTGGATGCAACATCAGGAATCTGCTGGGAGTGCTACAGGGTCTCACGAGAATAATGGGACAGAACTGGCAAGCCTGGCTTTGCCGGAAAAAGGGCGCAAGCGGCGCTCTCGGAAGAGAGCCTTGGATGAGGCGAGTGAAGAGAATCGTCAGCAAGCTGAGAGGCAGGAGAGACTGGCGTTGTGCATCAGACTTTTGGTGCTGCTGAAGCGCTTCGGGGCGCCAAGTCGGGGGGAATTTTCGAGTGACGTAGAGCCGATCCGTGCTGCCTCAGTTATTGCTGGCCGTATTAGGAACAGCAGCTTGAAGATATATCTGAAATACTTGGAGGAACTGATTTTCTGGATGCTGAGGGCCCGATTGCGGGAACCACCCTACAAAACTTCAGATGTCATCGATTTTCTCTTCATGTTGTCAGAGAAACCCTGTGGACCAACAGTGCCTGGTGCTTTCCTGAAATCGCTTATATACTTGGTTTGAGCGAATCTCTGGATTTAGCATTGAGCAGAGGGTTTATTTCAAAGCCTTTGCTACTTTTAACAAGGAATGTGATTGTAAAAGAGCTAAAGAAGCCGGGGATTCCGATTTGTCGAGCTCCCCGGCTCCCAGGTGCTCATCGCTTCATTGGAGCGATTGGTCTCGACGGAGACAGAGGCGCTGGGCATTCGTGCAGGTGCCTGGTACAGACGCATCAAAAGTTGAAGTACGCTCCGGTATGATGACGTTCAGCATCTTTCGCCGAAGGCAATCCGATTTTACGGAGGTAGGTTGTTGGCCATTCTTTATGAAACAAAGACCAGTGGGCCGGCGAGGAGGCAGGTTGAACTGCCCGTTGCAATTACAGAGGATTCCTGGATT